GAGAGAGAGAGAGAGAGAGAGAGAGAGAGAGAGAGAGAGAGAGAGAGAGAGAGAGAGAGTCCTTTTCTTCTTCGTTTGCAAAGGGTTCTAGCCCCTCATGTTATGTCTGTTGTATTTTGTCATGATTTTAACTGATAATCTCGGCTTCTTCTTCTGTCTTTTTTTCTTTCAAAAAACTTTTAGCTGCATGTCTATAATTCAGCCACTGAACACTGGCGGGTACGGAGTACTGACTGTTTTGGGTGGAAGTCACTTTGAAAACCAGATTGATTTGTGGAGTTAATACGTTGCTGATCTCCAGGATTCAAATGCCTCTACTTTTGGCGGAGGAGGAGGAGGAGGAGGAGGCGGAGGCGGAGGTGGAGGTGGAGGGGGTGGGAGAGACGGTATGGGATCAAGGCAAGAGAAGGAGGTTAAGCAGTATCGGCTAGAGCAGGAGTGCGAGCTAAGGTGTGAAGTGCCCTGGGACGGCACAGTAAGCGTCCGTCTGATTTCAGGAACGGCTGAGATCTTCGGCGCAGAACTGGCCCAATCGCAGATGCTCACCTTTCGCGGCGGCGAGAAGTTTGCTGTGAGTTTATTCCTTTGTACCTTTTGTCCCAATTCTTTCCCATCCCATTGCGGTCCCACTACTGTCCCATACCATTGCTGTCCCACTACTGTCCCATTGTGCAGGTTAGCGAGGGAACAACCAACCACCAGTACCCCAGGGGGTCTTAGGCCCCATCTGGGTAGGCTCTGAGGCAAATGCATATGGACCTGCGCGGCGCACCGATTCAGCCACCGCGTTAACGGTGTAAAAACGTGGAGGTACTGGTGGTTTAAACAACAAAACTACGTTTAGTAAGGACACTAAACCTTGAGCAAAGCTATGTATGTAACGAGTCTAACGACTAAGTTTTGCTATGTATGTAATGAGTCTAATGACCGAGTTTCGTCTTAGGCTAGTGAAGCATGTTAGTGCGGCATGAATGAAACAACAAAACTGTGTTTCGTGAGGACGCTAAACCTTAAACAAAACTATGTGTGTAATGTCTGACTGAGTTTCGTCTCAGGTTAGTGAAGCATGAATGAAACAACAAAAAGGTGTTTATGGAGGGCGCTAAACCTTTAAGAAAACTGTGTGAGATGACTGAGTAAGTTTCATCTTAGGTTAGTGAAGCGTGAATGAAAGGTTAGCGAGGGCACGAACTGTGAGCAGCAAAACGATGTCAACTATGTTCAGTGATTGTACTACTTAGTGAAAAATAATAAAACAACAAAACTGTGTTTACCGAGGACGCTAAACCTTTAAAATAAAGCTGTGTGTGTGATGACCGAGTAAGTTTCATCTTAGGTTAGTGAAGCGTGAATGAAACGTTAGCGAGGGCACTAACTGTGAGCAGCGAAACTATGTTAGGTTAGTGAAGCGTGAATGAAACGTTAGCGAGGGCACTAACTGTGAGCAGCGAAACTATGTTTAGTGATTGCACTAGGAAAAAAAGAAAAAGCAAAGAAAAAGCAAAGAAAAACCTTAAACAAAACTACGTATGAGAGTTTCATTTCAGGTTAGTGAAGCATGAATCAAGGCATATGCATACTAGGACTATTTTGACTCAGCTCTGGCCGTAATTGCGGTCAGATTCATCAGGCGGGAGTCGTACCTATGGCCAGATAGGTCCAGAACAGGTCTTAGTGTGAGTTTGCTCTGAAAGGTTCTGAAGGAGGATGACGGCACTAAAAAAAGAAAAGAAAAGGAAAGCCTTAAACCGCCAGTACACGGCCGCAGCCTTGCAGAAAGTTTTTGTCGCCACAAGCAAAACTTGCAAGGGCCGTGCGGCACGGGGCCATTGAAAAAAAAAATCTGCAGCCCCCGAAGTGGTGCGGGTTCCACACTGACACCCGTGGGCCTATGTATGGTGTACTGGTGCTTTAAACAAAACTATTCGCTGCCTAAGTTTCATTTTAGGTCAATGAAGCATGAATGAGAGCATGCTCACACTAGGACTATTTTGACTCAGCTCTGGCCATCATTGTGGGAAGATTCATCTGCTGGGAGTCGTAATTGTGGCCTGATGCATCCGTAAAAGTCTTAGTGTGAGTATGCTCTAAAAGGTTCTGAACCAGGATCACTCCCACACTATTAAAATCGCGAATGTAACAAATGTTAAATCAGGGCTGTCCACAGTCTGACCGGGCCACGACCCGGATTGTTGCAAGAATGTAACAAAAAATTGAATCCAGGCCGCCCCATCCTACCGTGCCGATTGCCTGGATTGTCATAGGATCTTAAGATTTTAAGACCACGTGGCAATCCACGCCGTCGGAACTGTAGTACTGGGCCAACGGCCCTGCTGGACCTAGAATAGGCCTACCGCTACCGGGGAGGTCCTACAGCCGTGTGTGCGTGTGGCCGCGGCGGTGCGTGCTTGTGTGGGTGTGGTTGTGTGCGCTTGAGCGTGCGGGTGTGCATCTGTGTGCGTGTGGGTGTGCGTGTGGGTGTGTGTGTGTGAGGGGGGTGCTGTGTTTTCCACACACCCACACACCCACACACCCACACACCCACACACTCACCCACACACACACACACCTGTGTGTGTGTGTGTGTGTGTGTGTGTGTGTGTGAGGGGGGGCCTGTGAGTGCCACACACCCACACACACACACACACACACACACACAAGGGGGGCGCTACGAGAACAAATGGAAGGGGTACCCCAAGGAGAACCAAAGTAAACACAGTTTTAAACGGTTGTATTATGCTCCATGTTGCTTGCTAAAGAGGTAAAATTGTCTACTTGTAAAATTGATTTGAACTGTCTCAACTCAAGTGCTCTCATGGTCTGCAATAGGACAAAAGCTGCCTCGATTCTAGATCTACTCATCTGGGTGGAATTGGGGCTGTTGTGGGGGAAATTTAAAACACAGACACACACACACAGAACCTCCTCCTCCCTCTTTTGCTCTCGACTCTCCATCTTTCGACATCCTCTTGCAATATCCGTCTGCACCTGCTTTACCCGTCTCTCTTCCCCATGGTGACCTAAGCTCCAACTTCTTCAGCTCCGTGCAAAAGAGGTAAGCCGCGATCCGCTTCCTCCCTCTTTTGCCTGCGGCTGTCCAACTTTCGACACCCTGTTGCAATATCTGTCTTCACCTGCTTTACCCATTTCTCCTCCCCATGGCGACCTACGCTCCAGGTTGGGTTGAGAAAGAAGAATAGGACAGGTGGGTAACTACTTCGGTTTTCTATCATCGGGTGAGCTGAGGAGGAGTAGGGGTAGGAATATGAAGTTGCTGAGGGCAGGGCGAAGAGAGATGGAAAAATGCGTAGGGGTAGGGGGCTATGGTGTCTTCATCTGGCTCTCTTGACGGGTTCGGCTTTTCTCTTTCTATTTCGCTTCACCATATTCCTTCCTTCCTATTTTTCCCTTCATTATGTTCCTCCTGCACGTGTTTCTTCCCTTGTCCAGTTCCATGTCTGCTCATGTCATCCCTCTCTCCACTTTGTCCTCCTCCACGTCAGCCTGTGCATATGTCCCGTTCCGTGTGGAAGCCGTGGAGGTCAATCTCCTCATTGCTCCAGGAGATGAGGGGAAAGGAAGGAAATGGAGAGACAATGATGATTCAAACATAAAATGGGTGGACGAGGAGGTCGTGGAGAGACGAGGCGGGGGCTCTTAAGGGGAGAATGCTGATGCGACAACGTTGCAGTGGAAAAAGAGGAGGAGAAGGCTATGGTGATTTCGTTTATCTTTCTCTTTACCGATGACCATTAATATACATAAGAAATTATATACTTATAAGAAATTGTATATATAATAAATGAAAATAAATAATAAATGAAAATAAAATTTAATAAATAGGATTGCATATACTGATTTTTGTATGATAGTTTCGAAAATATCAAGAGAAAGGTAATAGAAATAGATCAGTTCATCTATGGAGGATTCTTTTTGTGAAAATTCAACCTTGCAAGTCTCAAATTTTCAGATTAGAGCCTATAATAGGTTCGCGGAAATTCATAAACTGCTTTTGGGCTTTTTCTATTTTTTTGGGCGCTTTCGGTTTTTCAATTGTAGGTATATGTAGTTACCTAAAAAAGAATTTTTTTCTCTTTTCTGCAGAGAACGTTCGTTTTATCCCACAAGGGGCTGTAATGTGTTTCTATGGTATAGCTTTCTGATTTGCTTGCCATGGTCCCTCCGCCCGCCTCATTTTTCTCCTCCTCCATGTCCTTTTCTCTATGTCATCTTTCTCCACTTCAGCTCCTCCACATCATCCTTCTCCTCCTTTTCATCCTTCTACCTGGGATGCCAATATCTCTCACCCTCCGGGGGGGTGCGGGAAAGGCCAACACGTCATACTTGGACAGGGGTTAGGAAGACTACAAGGGTTTTCATGTTTTCATTCCTACTTCTCCATGTCTGTTTTCTTTATGTGATCCTTCTCCTCAGTCTCTGAAGAGTGCATGAAAGACCTCGTCACACTTAGGCAAAAAAAAACGACAGGGTTTTCATCTTTTTGTCGTTATTCATGTCCTGCTGCAGATCCTGCTTCCCGGTGGCACACACACACACACACACACACACACACACACACACACACAGAGAGAGAGAGAGAGAGAGAGAGAGAGAGAGAGAGAGAGAGAGAGAGAGAGAGAGAGAGAGAGAGAGAGAGAGAGAGAGACCGTTGTTTCAATAGGTAGGAGAGTAGTCACATTCCTGCTTGTGATGTTTTCGTTGTTGCCTGTTCCACCCGTTTGTCTTCACCCTTTCCTGCTGGCGATTTTTTCATGACGGTAGCAATGAATCCATCAGCTGTTAGACTCGCCAGAATCACCACTACTTTTGAGCTTCTATCAAGGGCCTTCCACCCTTTCCTCCTGGCGATTTTATCATTTTTGAGGAGGGTAGAGCTGCTTCTTGTTGCCCCCCTTGCAAACTCCTCCAGCAAGCTGCCTCATCTTGCCCTGGTGTTACATGCTGCGCCTGAAACGAGGGCCATTTTCAGGCCCTGTGTTGTTTTCAGCCTAAAAGCCTGAAAACAAGGGCCTACAGGCCCTGTGTTGTTTTCAGCCTACAAGCCTGAAAACAAGGGTCTACAGGCCCTGTGTCGTTTCAGCCTGAAAGCCTGAAAACAAGGGCCTACAGGCCCTGTGTCGTTTCAGCCTGAAAGCCTGAAAACAAGGGCCTACAGGCCCTGTGTCGTTTCAGCCTAAAACAGGGCCCTCCAGGCCCTGAGTCTTGTCAGGCTGAAACGGAGGGCCATTTTCAGGCCCTCATAAGATCGACCTGCCCTGAAACGTAGGCACCAGACCAGGGTTTTAGCACAGGCCATTTTGGGCCTGTTTTCAAGACAACCTTTGTTTGAGCTTCAAGGCCAGGGTCTGGCACGTTCTGGCATTGGGAAGAGCAGCCTCCTGGACGGGCCAGCACTATATAAGACTGGCCCGCCCTGCAGGCTGCAGGCAGTTCATAGGGACTTTCCAGGCACTTCACGTGCAGTTCAGGTGGCAGGAGGTAGTCTTCAGGATTCGGCAGCAGCACTCTGGAGGAGCGCTGCAGTAGTAGTAGTAGCGTTAGCAGTTGTCTTCAGCGCTGGGCGCTATTAGGAGCTAGAGTAGTACTGGAGGGGGATAGGGATTGGGCGGAGGCCAGGGAGACTTACCTGCAGCGCCATAGCTCCAGCTCGTCGTCAAGGTACCTGCAGCACAGCGCCATCTTCACAGGTTAGTACCTGGCACATGAGAGTGGGAGAGAGAGATAGCTCTTCTTCTTCCTCTTCTCAGTCCACCATCTCCCCCTCACCCTCTCGCTACCTGACTTCACTGCATCAGCAGACTACGAGAGAGAGGGAATGGTGACATTTGGATCCAGACTCGACATTGGGCTTCAGACATCTGACGAGGGATTATTTGGGACTTGTACCGAAGACTTGGTGTTGACGACATTCCCATCTTCCCCCTCAACTTCGTCTGATCCCCTCCTCTTCGTCTGTGTATGGTCTGGACCTGGCACATTCTTCCTGTGTGTAGCGCCAGGCCCCTTCACACCTTGTGATGAGGATAATGTATGTTTGGTCTGCATTGCGACATTGATTGGTCTAGTCATTGGGATTCTAGCATTTCGCTACGCTGTCTTATACCACGTGAGGGAGGTCAGTCCCGGTCAGGTCAGGGCTTATATATAAGTCTTCCACTGCGCTACAAGGTGCCATTTTGTATGTATCAGGATGTACATTGCTTGTTGAGATTCCACTCACACCGCGTTGTCCATTCAGTCCTTTTTATCACATTGTGGATCCTTGGCTATACATACATTGCCCAACTGGGCATGTAACACCTGGACACGGCACGTGGTCCTCGTGACTGCATGTAGATAGGAATGCGCGTCATATACTACTTTTGTCTCCCAAATATCTTCTTTTTTCTGATATGAGAGAATCCACTCATCCTCCAGGTTTGACAATCGTCTTCATCCGAATAAAACGTACGGTCATTGTAGCTCTATCTATAGACGAAAAGGTGGCCCACATACAGCTATCATGAACGTGCATTCTATTCGAGGAAAGAGTCATGTGAATTTATAGATACAGAAGTGTATGACCTACAGACAGATCCTTTTTTTCTTTCGAGGAAAAAACAATCTCATTACTTGCTGGAAACTGGGTTCAGCGTCCCTTATGAGAGTACCTATGACAATGCTTCAAGTTGTCCCAGATCTGGCTTCCTCCTGTTATTGCCAGATCCTGTTCAAGTTGTGTAATACTAGTTAGTGCATTCAAGATGATTGGGCGTCAAGTTTAGGTGAAGAAGGTAGCCAAAGTGAAGTACTAGTTGTTGGAAGAGCCATCGGTGCACATGCTGTGGACCCGTGTGTATGATGATGACAGGGGGTGCAGAATAGTATGTGTGTTACCGTCTTCACCCGAATAGAATGCCCGGTCATTATAGCTGTGTTTCGCACAACTTTCGGTCCAGATGCAGCTATAATGACCGGGCGTTCTATTCGGGTGAAGACGGTAGTGCTCAACGATACTGGCTGTGTTACCGACCCGGTAACCGCGGTTGCCCGGGCGGCTGCGGCGGCCAAGGGCCAGGGAAGGTCCCTGTAAAAAATAAACCAAAACAAAATCCAGAAAATACGAAAAAAAACTGTGTTGTGCAGAAAAACAAACTGAACAACTTTTGCCGCAGGGTCGGATCGAAATTCTTTGCCTTTCCTTTTCTTTTTCTTTTTTTTTTCATTTTTGGCCTGGCCGGGCAAGCGGTCCTGGGCCACTCAGGTAACGAAGTCTGCTTGTTAACTGTTACATGCTGCGCCTGCAACAGGCTGCACGGGCCATTTTCAGGCCCGTGTCGTTTTCAGCCTGAAAGCCTGAAAACAAGGGCCTACAGGCCCTATGTTGTTTCAGCCTGAAATCCTGAAAACAAAGGCCTACAGGCCCTGTGTCGTTTCAGCCTAAAACAGGGCCCTCCAGGCCCTGAGGCTTTTCAGCCTGAAACGGAGGGCCATTTCGGGCCCTCATAAGATCGACCTACCCTGAAACTTAGGCGCCAGACCGGGGTTTTAGCACAGGCCATTTTGGGCCTGTTTTCAAGACAACCTTTGGTTGAGCTTCAACGGCAGGGTCTGGCACGTTTTGGAATTGGCAAGAGCAGCCTCCTGGACGGGCCAGCACTATATAGGACTGGCCCACCCTGCAGGCTGCAGGTAGTTCATAGGGACTTCCCAGGCACTTCACGTGCAGTTCAGGAGGCAGGTGGTAGTCTTCAGGTTTCGGAAGCAGCACTCTGGAGGAGCGCTGCAGGAGTAGTAGTAGCGTTAGCAGTAGTCTTCAGCGCTGGGCGCTAGTAGCGTTAACAGTAGTCTTCAGCGCTGGGCACTAGTAGGAGCTAGAGTAGTGTTGGAGAGAGAGAGAGGGTTGGCGGAGGCCGGGGAGACTTACCTGTGGCGCCATAGCTCCAGCTTCGTCTTCGATGTACCTGCAACAGGGCGCCACCTTCACATGTTAATACCAGAATGAGAGAGAGAGAGAGTTCTTCTTCTTSCTCTTCTAAGTCCACCATCTCTTCCTCACCCTCTCGCTAGCTGACTTCTCAGTATCTGCAGACTATGAGAGAGAGAGATTTGTGACTTTGGGACTTGACGACATTTGGATCCAGACTCGACATTGGGATTCAGACATTTGACGAGGGATTATTTGGGACCTGTACTGAAGACTTGGTGTTGACGACATTCCCATCTTCCCCCTCTTCTTCGTCTGATCTCCTCCTCTTCGTCTGTGTATGGTCTGGACCTGGCGCCTTCTTCCTGTGTGTAGCGCCAGGCCCTTCACACCTTGCGATGATGATGATGTACATTGGGTCTGCATTGCGACATTGATTGGGTTGATCATTGGTATCCTAGCATTCCACTGCCCTATCTTATACTATGTGAGGGAGGCCGGTCCTTGCTCTGGTTGGCACTATTACGGTATTCAACAGTTTGGTATCTCCTCCTCTTCTCACATGTGTGAAGTATAATGGGATGTCATGTCAGTCCCAGTCAAGTCAGGACTCATATCCAAGTCTCCCACTGCGCTACAAAGTGCCATTTTGGATGTATCAGGATGAACACTGCTTGTTGAGATTTCATTAACAATTTAACACTGCATTGTCCACTTAGTCCTTTTCATCACTTTGTGGATCCTTGGCTGTACATACAGTGCCCAACTGGGCATGTAACATTAACTATGTTCTTTTTTTCTTTTGCTTTCTTTTGGTTCATTGTTGCAACTGCTGCTGTTATCCTACAGGTCTTTACTTGGCATGGTGCAATGATTGAAGTAGAGGGTGTGCCAGAGGTCGTTTATGTCGCCGATGAGGTATTGTTTTGGTGTATGCGTTATGGTAGTGGCCTTTTTTTTTTTTTTTTTTCCTTGTTGTTTGTTTCCTAATAGGATAATCATTGGTTAAACGAAGAGTCAGGTGTCCTGTGAGGGTGGATGGTTTTGGGAGAGACCCTGCAACTTCAGATCCCGAATGGTACACCACTACAGAATACACAAGCCATGAGTCTGGATGTGAAACGATAAAAAAGGAGGTAGTGATATCAACACAACGATTTAACAGGATTTTTTTTTGCGGTGGAAGTTATATTTTGACTTCTGTCTAGGATGCCTTTCTGGGCACCCGGTCTGCCTTTGCCTGGCCTAGGATGCCATTTTTCTGGGCGCCCATGCTGCCTTTGCCTGCCTGGAATGGGCCCAGTTGTGCAAGGTCCCGACCAGGTCTCTTGCAGCCCCTGTGCAGTGCAAAATCCAAAAACTAAACTTGTAAAAGATTAAAAATTCGGAAATTCCTAGGTTACCTGAACTCTTTCTTTGTAGTATATGATAATAATTGATTGAAGATTCTTCATCGCGTTGAGTTGGGTTTAACGGTTAACCTCATGGGCTTGTGCGAAATTTCATTTGAAATTTCTGTGTATGCATGCTGAATTTGGGAGTCGAATCGGGGTGGTTCACTGCATACCAGTTGCAGAGCCTGGCCAAAGTCTGTAGGACTAACTGTTGACCCATAAACTTCGCTAGGTCAAAAACTACGACCTTTAGACTTTGGACCTCAGGCTCTACCCCATCTCTTGACTCTACAGGGTCTGCATACCACAGGTCTTTAACTGAGATATGGACATAGACCATATTCTGTAGGATTGAGGGCCATTCTAATGGACTATTTCTCATGCTTAGCCTTGACTCAGACTTCAAATGCATGTTTGTGTGCTGGATATGAGCCTGGGTCATTGCAGCAACCTATCTTTCACAGAACAGAAGCAATTGGGTGAGTGGATAGCAGCTGAGGCAGGAAGGCTGGTTGAGGGAGAGCGACACCCTGACAAGGGCTGGTACAGCAACCAGTCGATACACGTAGGTGCACAGGTACCATGAAGATCAATCAGAAATCCTAAGCACATTGTGTTCCCATTGATCAACATTGACCTAATGCGGCAAAAATTAGCAGGAATGACTGTACCATGACCACACATGCTCACAAGCCTAATGCCATTCGATCTCTTGGTGCGAAGCAATCAACTCCCCTTCACTTCTCCATCACCAAACAGCAGTTATAATGAAGATCATGAGCAAGACCGGCCCATCTTGGTGGATTCTTTCAACGGCTGGGCAATGTGCTCGCCCTAGTGTACACATCCGACTCTAGTGCTGCCTCATGTTCATCTATGCCACTGAACACAATGCGGCTCCACCGAAAAAAAATAAAAATAAAAATAAAAAATAATCGGAAATTCCTATCTGTTAGTGCTCCGGATGGCCCAGGACCCCAAATAACTCTTTGCTGAGGGTCAATTCAGAATTCTTTATGATTGAATCAAACTTATAAAAGTCAGAAATGAAAACAAAACTAAGATACACCCCTTTGCAGCCCTTTTAAACCCCTTAAAATCCCTTTAGGCTACTCGGCCTGCATGGTCGAGCAGACCCGGCTGGGCATCCGGGCTAGTCGCCAGGGCGGCCTGACGCCCGAGGTACATATGTTTCTGGGTGTGGGAACAAGTGGCGTTAATTTTTTCCTTTTTCCCCTTTTTTGGCGTTGGGGGTTGTCCGCTCATATCCCCAGAGGATTCCAGATCCGGACTCTTTTTCTGTACTTGAGTGTTGGCTGGCAAGGGGGAGGACGGGGGGGGGGGTATAATTCGTTTTAAAGGGGAGAGGCCGGATCTACCACCCCTCCCCCCTGCCCAAGTAGTTACCCTAACTGACCTGCTTTCGATATAGGATTCTGATCCAAAGTTTTTTCTGTATCTGTTTGCTGTGCGTAATCTATCCATGAGAATATTGGAAGGCTTGCTCCTCTCAGCTACTTGGCTGCAAGATTTGCAAATGGTACTGGAGCTGTTGACCTGTCTACTTAGTACTAATTTTATACAACACTAAACCCTAGTGGACCTAGAAATGGAATTTAAACCTACGATGTCTCTGAAGGGTCTGAACATATTCCTACCTGGCTTTTAATCCCATGCTGTGGCAGTGTCCTGTGAACAATTCTAATACCCTAAACCTTAACGCCTATGCTAGCCAGTCTTTATTTTCTGGAAACTTCTCCTCTAGGAGGGTCTTGTCCTTGTAAATCTTCGTAGCCGGCTGTCAATCAGATGTAGCCTCGAGTGTGGCTGTAGCTAGTTGGGCTTCCGTCCATACCCTTTTTTTCTGTGTGTTAACTTTGTTACATAACCATGGAGACTTTTTCTGTTTTGAGAACTGAAATCAATCATGGGGTCAAAAAAATGAAATAGAAAATCAGGGGATTCATGGCTAATTTTAGGGTTCTCTTTGTTTGTTTATTGATTCATTTATTTTCATTAAATTTATTTAGGATTCTACACAGCTGGGGTTCGACGGGAGTATATTCAATTTTGAGCATGACCTGGATCTTAGCCCAACTCTCAGAAGTAATTAGGCAAGGCTGTTCTTGACCCACCTTGGCTTCAAGCAGTATTTCAGGAGGCCTAAGGGGAAGAATGCTATAACCTAAACATGTGTGTGGGTTAGGCACGGGCACAGGCACAGGCACAGGCACAGGCACAGGGCCAGGGCCAGATTGATGAAAGATTGGCCTGCAGGCCTGTACACACAGGCCAGGCAGGTCTCTCGGTGGTTCCGCCATGTGTCCTCTCACCTGTCTACCTCTGCTATCCCTATCTGCGCACCCTTTCACTTCCATGCAATCCCTGCCTTGGGCCGGAGTTGTCGAAACCTCCCCTGTCCAGCCACATAGTGTGTGTGTGTGTGTGTGTGTGTGTGTGTGAGAGAGAGAGAGAGAGAGAGAGAGAGAGAGAGAGAGAGAGAGAGAGAGAGAGAGAAGGGGTCATTTCTCATGCATTGTTCTTGTCTTGGTCTTGTTTGTATGGCTTGACAGACTCCGATGTTGAGTTATGTGAACACCCATGCTGTATTGGAGGAACGGCGCCTGGAGGCACAGCGAGCCTCCACTTCCTCAGCATCATCAGGAAATGCCACCACGGGGAAGCCCTCGGGGAACAGCCAGACGATTCCTGGTACCAGTCCATCGAACCGGCCTAAGAATGGACCGAGGGCCATTGTTGTTGGCCCTACGGACTCAGGGAAGAGCAGCTTGTGCAGACTACTTTTGAATTATGCAACACGCAAGGGTTGGAAGCCCCTCTATGTGGACCTTGACATCGGCCAAGGCTCTATCACCATGCCGGGGACGGTGTCAGCCATCCCAGTTTACATGCCAATCGATCCGCTTGAGGGTATACCACTAGAAGTTCCACTCGTCTACTATTTTGGCCATTCAACTCCAAGGTGAGAGCAGGAGAGTGACTGAGGGAGACGTGCATGTGTGTATGATGAGAGAGAGAGAGAGAGAGAGAGAGAGAGAGAGAGAGAGAGAGAGAGAGAGAGAGAGAGAGAGAGAGAGAGAGAGAGAGAGAGAGAGAGNAGAGAGAGAGAGAGAGAGAGAGAGAGAGAGAGAGAGAGAGAGAGAGAGAGAGAGAGAGAGAGAGAGAGAGAGAGAGAGAGAGAGAGAGTTGTCGATTGGTCACAGGCTTTCCCAGAGGGCAGTATGCAGTGGCAGGGATATGAGAAGGGTGTTGTGTGTGTGATGTCTGTCATGGATACCAACGGAACGCCTCTTTGTTTCTTTTTTTAAAAGTTTGGACCATTTCCCGATTTGTGAGTGTCATCCTTGCACAATGGCCATGCTAATCTTCTCTGTATCGTTCCAATTTAAACGGATGTCCTAGTTTTTTTGTTTTTTTTGTTTTTCCTTAGTTTGGACCTTTTCCCGATTTATCGTGTGTCATCCTTGCGGAGGGGCCATTCTAATATTCTCTATGTCGTTCCAATTTTAGCGGATGTCCGGACGGATCAGCAGAAAGCATCTCAACAAGATTATACATGAAGAATTCATGCGAACTGAATCCACGCCATCGCCACCTCGATAGTGTCTTATGAGGGTTTCTGTGCACTGGAGGTCAACGAGTTTAGGGTTTGCTTGTCCTCCGTAACTGGACTCTTATCTTGCGGTTTATTACTTCTACTACCGTCTTCCCACTAACGCAGTGTACCCTGACCATGAGTGTATACAAGCTAGCTTTCCGGTCTTGTTTCTTCAGGATGATGGTCTGTCGTATTCGGGGGAAGACGTTAGGGGGATGGAAACCTCCTTTGGTTGATTGTTGCTGGAAGGAAGTGGCCGGTACAGCGGCACAATGTCCCTGAGTTAATTTGTTGCACTGTCTATCACTGGATGTGCGATGAACCTTTGATTGGCTACCGTATTCACCCGTGCACAACACACTCCATCATGTATGTGTCAAATAGAGTCATGATGAGGGTAGCTAGTCTGATGAGGGTGCGCTGTGTTTGGGGAAGGCGAGAGCCAGTCTGTGGTGTTAATTTAGACTATTTCAGATTTCTCGATTTATGCATGCCATCCTTGCACTGGGGCCAATGCTAGTCTTCTCTGTATCGTTCCAAATTTTTAACGGATGTCCTGAAGTATGACAGTGATGGCGATATTGAGTTGCTGGAAAAGGAACAAAGATGCGGTCATGTTGGATCTTGGAGTCACAAACAGCTTGGGACCCCTTCTGCACTTGGGACCCTTCCGCGGTCCTTGGCGGGGATTTTGGCACGATTGAAGTTAACTGGGCGCAGGCGGACCTGTACATCCACGAAAGGGCGGTGCACCTTGCTAGAGTACTGGTGCTTTATAGTCGGATTTGTGTGCGGTTTGTCCTTTTTTTTTTTTTTTTAATGCAGTCCGGGATGTTGTAGAGGCTGGATGCTACATTGATTGTGCTTGGTGTGCCCTTTGCCTCTGTTTTCCCAGCTGAAATTGAAGTTAGCTATTGGGCGTACTCGCATTAAGAATTTCGTGAATGTCTCTGACTCTGATGACAGCCAGATTTCATTCAAAAAAGTCTATGTTCGAGTATTATGCCCTTAGCGAGTGCAATTACGTACTGTTGATGTGGATGTTTCACTGTTTTTGAGAGTTGCGGTGCAGCCATTGTGCCCTTGGATGCTGATTCCCACCAATGTCTCCCCTTTGTGTTGTGTGTTGGGTGGCCTTTTTTGCCGTCTGATCTGTCCCAAGTGTGAACGCGGATCTCTATCGGCAGTTAGTGAAGCAGTTGTCAACGCTCCTGGATAAGCTGTTTTCTGTGAATGCAGAGGCCAGGGCATCTGGGATGGTCATCAATACCATGGGCTGGGTCGAAGGCTTGGGTTATGAGGTATGTCGCCGTCAAAGCCAAATTCGATGAATGGGCAACAGACTAGAACACAGGCCAAATTCGATGAATGGACAACGGGATCGGAAGTGGAACATTGGATGTTATATTATTATGCACTGGCCCGCCCACGCATGCATGGTTGAGTAAATTGTTACTATTGTTTGCTGCTATTGGCTACGCTTTGTGACACGCAGGCTGCACAGGTCTATATAGGCCTGCACGTCTATTCATAGCTATTCATCTGTTGAGTCAATCTGAATGGCTGGGTCCTTCAGGCACTCGCCCCCCAAAGAACCGACTTTCAGTTGTCATGCATAGGCTCAGCAACACTCACGCCTGTCCCATGCAATGCACAAACACCATGCAAAGCATCGTGGCCACAGTCCTGAATCGGGATGATCCCATCCTGAAAGGAGATGAAATAGCAACGAGAGGTATATGAACTCGACGACCCCGTCCTGTCTGCCTTGCCCGACCGCTTTTGCGCAATTCCACTAGAAACAATCCTCGGCATCGTACTAAATGCAATTGGAATTCTTGCATGGAAGGGTCACAACCATGCATCTGATGCTGGAAAATCGCGGCGTGAAAGAGGCTAAACAGAGCCTATGTCTCCTCTCGTGCAATCAATAGAACCAACTGAGCCGCCTTCCCGCTGCTCGTAATGCATGTCTTCCACAAAACTTAGGTGAGCGCTACTGTGAAGAAAACCAAATGGGAGGTGGAAATGTCGATATTAGACTGTAGAAGCAATTGTGCAGTCTACAGTACCTCTAATCATTAGAGTATATTAAGGCGTTTCTCCATTCCTGTTCTTAGAGCTCTCCCTAGTTCAAGCATCATCTCTCCCTACGCTCCATACCATATCAAGGCGGTGCCAGAGTAGATGGGCTAGTAAAATGGGTGCCAGTGTAGATAGATGCCTCCTGAGAACTGCTCATGGGTGCTCAGCGCTGCCTCGTCAGAGATAGCAAAACACACTTTCCTCCACCAACGCTGACGGAAGCTGGTGGCCTCAAAGATCACAATCCGAAAGCAGTTGTCACCACTTCTTTTGTGGCCTTGGCAGGCTGCCTACTGACCGCCACCTGCACAACCTGCAGCCCTTTGGTATGTTGGTGCGGTTGACGATGGCCAGTCATTGGAGGCAATCATGTGTAAGTGTTTGAAACAGTTGCATTGAGGCCAACCGTGGTCACTTGAGAAACTGCTAGATAGGGAATGGGTGCCCAGTTCCTCGTATCAGAGGCTGTTGCTCTAGGTCCACGAGAATTTGGAACCACCAGGGATGTACCCACACCCAGGAAATTCTCTTGGAAATCCTTCGTACTTTCAACATTTGCTGAACCGAGTCTGGCTGGCATTTACGATCCAAGCTGATTTTGCTCTATGGTGGAAAATTTGGGAGGACCACAGAGTTACTTGTGGACTCTGTAGTAATTGGCTGCAAAACAAGCACCCATAACAGTTCCCCTGATACTTTACTTCCTTTTCAGCGCACGTTACGGGTTGTAATTGGGCTGGTAACCTTGGCAGGAGTGGTGGACATCCACTTGTGCGGTAATGTAACGTGTTATGCGTTCGAGACGGAACGCCGATGGAGAACTGTATGACGGGAAACTGTCACGTATTACTTTGCAGAGGGCAGAGATTCACCTCTGACCCCTACCCATTTTAGGTTTTGCTTTTTTCTTAACTGAACTTATTGCTTTATTCGCCTTAATGATGGCTTTCTAATTTTATGGGCGACCACGACGTTTGTGACAGTTTGCCAATTACGGAAGCGGTGGAGGAAGGTTTGTGAGATGATGATCTGGACACTCGTTCACATGCCACTTGCTCCTGCGAGTTTCTGTGTGCAAGCTATCTTCCATCATCCGTTTGTTTTACTGTAGACAAACGGTCGGTCTGTGTTTTGATGAGATCAGGCCAAGGGTGAGGTTGTGTTTGGAATCTTTGGATAGAAATGATGGATCATTGGAAGATAGTGAAGTACATTGCTTGTAGGCGTCGTGTGATTAGGTGTGGCTGATCGGTTGTTTGTGGCAACTATGCTCTTGCAGCTTTTACTCCATGCAATAGACACACTGAGTGTGGATGTCGTCCTTGTTATAGGGCAGGTAAGAAAATGTACATATTCGGCTTACCCATCACCTCCTCCTCCTGCTGCTTCTTCTGTTTGCTTCTGCTTGAGACCTGTTTTTTGGCTAAAATACCATTTTGGGAATTGTTATGCTGCCCGTGGTCTTATCTCAGGCTGTTTGTGAAGAAAGAGATGTTTTGCGGCATCGCTTGAAAAAAACATGTTTGCATGTTCATTGAAGGGAAACAACCAATCACAACATTAATGTGTGTGTTTGTGTGTGTGTGTGTGTGTGTGTGTGTGTGTGCGTGCGTGCGTGTTCAAGTTACTTCACACATTTTTGCTTGATAAAGCGTCATGCAAGGAAAATGAGCGATAGCGAACTTCACAAACCAAGCAGCATCATACACATGAGACCAGATAGTCGTGCCTCGAACCAAAAGCAGAATTGCATCACGAGTCCCACCAAATAAGAGCACAGCAAAAGCTCATAAGTGACAATGTTCGAGTAGCCTCATCATCATCAACAAAGAACCAATGTCGACATTCTATCTGGCGCTCTGCGCCCAGACTACAAATGGCAGATCCTATCTAGCCTATCTACAATGCCGCTGGTGACGTCAACAGCTCCCTGAAGTACGAGAAGATATCGGCCAATGCCGTTCGCCTCAAGCACCAAGTATGTCTCTCGTATCACTCACAACCTCGATCCCCCACTCACAGATGCCACGTGCACCCAAGAACCACCATGCGCCCCATCCAGCATACAGCAGCGCAGCTCGGCTATGGCTTCCTGCTCCTTCCTGCTCACCCGTGAGCGCGCGAGCGCTGGCCAGCGTTAGCGCAGCAGTGCTTGCGCAGCATGCAGCCAGTGCCCGAATATCGAATGCGGGGGCAGGCACTTTCCTAAATGGAAGTGGCCTGCCTGCTTGCACGCAGCCTGGCTGTGATGGGCCCCTGCCCAGAAGCTTCCGGTAGGCCCAGAGAGGCTGAGCCCCAGTCCAAACGAATCAGGCCCTGGGCCTGTGGTGGTTGCCCGTGTCCAACTGCCTGCGGCCTGTGTTCGTTCGGTCCATGTTGCGAATCTGGCCCAGGGCCTACCTCAGTTACATTCGAAAGAGGCAGCCTGGGCCTGGGTGCTCTCAACCAACTGTCGCTGCGCAACTGCCTGAATTTCCGCAGTTGCGTGGTGACCCCAAAAATGGTCCTGTAGGGCTTGGTCGAGCCTGCCTTCACTTAAGGCGGCTGACTGTTCTGAAAATAGGGCCCAGTAGGGCGTATCGAGGCCTTGAGCCTCGCAGTCATGTTTAAAACATGAAATATCCAGGATCCAGGCCTGACAGCTACAGTCACCCAAGTAGAACACCCGATAATTATCGCTGTATCTGGACTGGAGGTTGTCCCAAATACAGTATAATGACCGGGTGTTCTATTCGGGTCAAGACCGTAGTCCTTATCATGCACCTACTTGGTTTATAGGGTTGCAGGGCTGTTTCGACCCGATGGTAGGCTAAACTGGTCACTTCAAACAGACTCACAAACCTGAAACAACAATCATGCAATGAAAACAGAACATACAAGACAAGGAAGGACAACAGGCAGCAGGTAAGAAATAACGAGGAAGAAAAAGCAGTGAGCCAACGCATAGGCTGGGGGGCATGGGGGAGGCGGGAGGGCAGATGTGACGGGGCTGAGGCAGAGCAGCGAGTTCGGGGAAGAGAGAGGGAGGGAGTGAGAGCACACACACTCACTCACTCACTCGACATGGACTCGACACGACTCGACGGACACGGACACAAAGTGGCAAAGTGGTAAAGTCACAAAGTCGCAATCTTGGTTCCGTACACAATGTCGCAGCAAGTCACACTGAAGTACAAGCACCGAGGCTGAAAACGGCGTTCCCGAACTCAGCTCGAGTCCGGTCTTAAGTACCGGACTCAAGTTGAGTCCGAGGGCAGAAGTGCAAGTGCCTCGGGGCTGGACTGAAAATCGAAGGTCTGAGGCTGGGCGCCAGAATGCCGGATACGAAATCCGAAAGTGGCAGAGGCGGGATTTGAGAAGGGGCGCCAACTGCAGAGGGCACCAACAGTCAGAAACTGGAGATCAGAGACTCCAAAAAAAAATAGAATAGCAGCCTGGCGGGGGGTAACCCGCGGACCAGGGATCGAGCCCTGGCTGGGTCCGTAACAGCAGACATCATATAAGCACACAAGGCACACAAGACAACAAGCAACGTGGGATGGTGGGCATGGGGGAGGAGGGAGGGCAGGCAGCATGCAAGGACACAAGGCAGTGAAGGGAAAGAGCAGCAGGAGGGCAGACAACATACAAGCGCTCAAGGCAGGGACCAGTCAACAAGCAACATAGGCTCCAGGGCATGGGGGAGGTGGGTGGGCAAGCATACAAGCACACAAGGCACACAAGAAACAAGCGACATGGGATGGAGTGCAATGACTTGCTGGTTTCTGGTTGTCTGTAGCCTCTCTCTTGTCGAGGCTGTACCATCTGTAGGTTAGATTCGTAATTTTGTTTGGCTGAGGGCTAACCGAGAGACATGCCTGTAAGGAAATTCGTTAGGGACATATCTGCAAAATTGGGAAAATATAGGCCTGTACTAACTAGAATTCCTACAGCTACCCTAATTGCGAATAGCAGGCCCGGGCTACCCCTAGGACAGACAGGCCCTAAGGGCCTAAGCTGATAGACGGTCCTATAGCCTATAGCCGGGTTGGGAGAGGCCCTAGAGGCCGAAACAGAAACGGTACCGGTCGGTCAGTCAGTCCGGTCTAGGTCGAGTCTAGGCTAGAGTAGACTATAGATAGATTGGGCACCTTGGCTCAGGGCTTTTGGCAGTTGGTACCGAGTACATCGCGGCTGTGCTACGCGTGAACCGGAAGTGGTGACGGCTCAGCGTTGAGGGAGACAGGCATAGCCAGACCTTCGGAGCGCCGGCCATAGCTGGGACCTGCGCTGTACTCTGTCAGCACGCGGGGCTGTACAGAGGTCTGGGCTATTCGAGGTCTGCTGGAGGCGAGAGAATTTGGTGCCCTGCTGGACCCTCCTCTGGAGTAGGGTTACAGGGTTGTGGCGCTGCAGCCATAGCTCCAGCTTCTTCCTCAGAGATCATCTTGTCAGGAGTGGTGGCGCTGCTGCAGACTTCCACCCAGGAAGTCTTCCGACACTTCGTCATCATCAGATACTGTGGCGCTGGTCTTCTTCTTCATCCTCTGAGTGGCGCTTGGCCTCAGAGGCCTGTTTCAGGGTGGCGCTTGATGTTTCAGGGACTCTGGGGTAGTAATAGTGGTTCATCAGGGTTGGGGAGCGAAGCGCTGCTCACTTCTGAGCAGCGCACCATAGTTCTGGAGTGCTCCTGACAATTCGAGACTCTGAGTTTAATAAACAGTGTTGATACTGGGTTTAGACTATCATCGTTTCATTGTTTCTTGGATGTGATCTACTCGGCTTTCCTTTATGACTGGTTGTGAGGATTAAGTGGAGTGAATTGCACTTCAGTGTACCCTGTCATATCGCATTGTCAAGTCTTCCACTGTGTTTATCTCTCCTTGTGCGGTTTGATACTCCTATCCTCTCCCCTTCCTTCTGTGTATGTATGGGCATACCTGGGTGTCTATGTGAGTGAGTGTTGGTTTTCAGACAACAGACAACCAGAATCATAACAGGAGGGCACGGGGGAGGCGGGAGGGCAGTCAGCATGCAAGGACACAAGGAAAAGACCACCAGGTCGGAAAAGGCTGCAAAAAGCAAAGAAGAGACTGGAGGGCATGGGGGAGGTGGGTGGGCAAGCATACAAAGCAACATAGGCTGGAGGGCATGGGGGATGTGGGTGGGCAAGCATACAAGCACAGAAGGCACACAAGAAACAAGTGGCATGGGCTGGAGGGCAGTCAGAATGCAAGGACACAAGGGAAAGACCACCAGGTCGGAAAAGGCTGCAAAAAGCAAAGAAGAGACAATCAGGCAAAGCAGCAAGGCAAAATCAGAGGGGCAACGCAGGCTGGAGGGTATGGGGGAGGCGGGAGAGCAGGTGACACACAAGAACACAAGCTAGCAATGGGAAAAGACCACATACAAGTATACAAGGTGGGAAAAGACACGAAGCGACATAGGCGGGAGGGCATTGGGGAGGTGGGTGGTCAAATCTACAGGCACACAAGGCAGGGAAAACGCAGCAAGTAACATGGGCTGGAGAGCACGGGGGATGCGGTAGGGCAGACAGCACGCAGGGGCACAAGACGTCAAAGGAAAAAACCAGCAGGATGGAGAAGGGCGGTAAACAGGAAGCAAGAGACATCCAGGCAAATCGGCAAAGCACAAACAGCAAGCAAGAGACATCCAGGCAAAGCAGTAAGGCAAAAGCAGCGTAATGAGAAAAAGAGCAACAGAAGGCAACAAGGCATAGGATGTCAGGAAGCAGCAGAGGATGAAGGCTAAAGGGCACTGGCGAGGTGGGAGGGCGGATGACACACAAGGACACCAAGCAGGCAAACTCAAAAAAGAATACAAGTCCCAAGGAAATGGAAAAACTGAAAAGAATAAAAGCTGACAGAATTGGTAGCAGCTGCAGCTTCTCAGACCGTTCTTGCTATTCATGTTTTATTTGACAGGTTCTTATAGTAGTCCTGAGAGGAAAGGTGGAAGTAGGGCAAGCTGACAGTCAATCCTCCACGATGTTGGAGCAATCAATGCTGATCAGGGTTTGAAGGAAGAGTGAGGGTGTCCTATGATGTAATCATTTTTCCTGACTTGCCGGTGGAACAGGAACTGGACTGATGCTCCCCAGAATGGAAATGGAGCCAGTACCATAAGGACCTGTTTTATTATTTTAGAAAAAAAAAGGGGAGAAAAGGAGGGGGAAAAAAAAAGCAGATGATGAAAGATTGTTTCGTTGGACTTGCACCAACTCATCAGGACGCTCAACCCTCAACAATCTGCGTCGGACTTGCACCGATTCATCAGGAGGCTGAACCCTCGACAATCTTAAACATTGATTGTTTGGGCAGCAACTCAGCGAAGCACCAGGCAACGCTGCCGAGGCAACACGACTGCACAGTGCCAAAAACAACTCCAAGGAACGACGAGGCAAGCAGACGGGCAGCACGGCAACTGCCCAATGAAGCACAAGGCAACACTAACAAGGCAGCCAAACTACACGGGCACACAAGCGAAGGATGCCGAAGGCACGACCATGCGGATGGGTGGCACGGCAGCAGAGGAGCGAGACACAAGGCAACACCAACACCGCAGCCACACACACACAGTGAACACAGCAGCTTGCAAAAAACGAGATGCGAAGCAAGTGGGACGGGCAGCAAGGCAGCAGTGGAGCGCGGACGAGGCAGTCTACACATCCAACACGGAGAAAAGCAGCACATCCCCTACTCACATCACGAGTGAACACCGCAGATTGTTGGTTCCCGCCACCTGCTGAGCCAGGGAGTCACTACGATGAACATCAGTCATCACCTGTAGGAGACACAGACATCCTGAACTGAGCAGCGACCTCCCCCAAGAGTGCTCCGGGCACTCCGAACTAGGAATGACCGACTATTTGGGACTGCTTAAAGGTGCCCGGTAAGGCACACAAAAAGTAAAAAAAATTACAAGGAAGACAGAAAGAATACAAGGACGACAGCAACAAAACAAACAGGAAGAATCCAAAGAACGACATACATAACAATGAGTGTGTACATGCATAAAAGTTGATTGAGTGTGTGTTTGTGTTTGTGTGTGTGTGTGTGTGTGTGTGTGTGAGAGAGAGAGAGAGAGAGAGAGAGGTGGCTGATGATGATTAATGTTGATTCAATTGTGCAGGAGCGACTTTACAGCCAGCTTAGTAATGCGCTAAGGGATGCTGAACACATTGATGTTGTGAAGCTAAACAAGTCTGGAGGTGTTGTAACAAGGAACATGAAATGCCGCCAACGGTGTCGGATCAGTCGAATCCAGGTATCTGGATGGAGCTTTCTCTCCCCGCTCTCTCACCCTCCATCCCTCTCCCTTCCTCTCCCTTTTCTACCTAATGTCTGGCTTGCGTGTCTGTGCGCTCTTTCCCCTGCTGCTTTGCTTTGTGAGCTTTGTTCTCAGTGTGTCACTGTGGTGTTTATTTCATGCCCGTGCCAAGACCCTACCACATATTTCACAATAGTGGGGAATGGCAGGATAGTTGGGCAAGGGTGCGGGGAAGAAAGGCGGGGGGGGGGGGGGGGAGAGAGAGAGAGAGAGAGAGAGAGAGAGAGAGAGAGAGAGAGAGAGAGAGAGTTCAACAGTGTGAAAGAAACGTCCTACCCTACATATACAGAAGGACCATTTGACTTGTTGGTGGAAAAGAAGTGCTGTGCGGCCTCTCATCTGAATGCGCTCAATCCCCACACGGAGCATGTAAAATGTCCCCTCTCCATAGTAATCCTTGACCAGCTCACCCACCTCCCCACCCATTTCCCTCTGTTCAGTTTTCGCGTGTAGTCACCTTCCCTTGCATATCAGTGATCGTACTCTTGGTCCTCCTACTCCTTGCATATCAGTGATCGCACAGGGACTTCAGTCAGCTTCTCTGCTTTCAGTTTCATGCCAACAGGTGTAGGGGTCCATAGGTTGCCCTGTGTAGCTCATAGAAGTCCCCAGTGGGATAAATAGGAAGCTCGGCAGGCCAGAAAACTATAGGTGCAGATTTAGGGTCTGGTCCAGTAGTAATCTGTAACTCTAGGTGTAGCGCCCGAGCGCAGAAGGTTGAGGATTTGTTTGGTATTGTCGACCTTGGCCTTAGCAGAATATGAATGGGCAACTGACCGGAAGGAGCCTCAGGTGTCATTCATTCTACTGGGCGCAGTTGAGTAGCTGAGGAGTGAAGCGTTCAATGTTTCAGCACCTGGTGGATCGCCAGGAAGGTAACGGCCGTAGCTGGGGCTAGGTCACCGAGGAGGAAGACACTCCCTGGGGTAATCCACTGAAGAGGAGTAAACCAGTGCATGCTGATGATGATGGGAGGTTGGTCCTTGACATTGGAGTCGCTTTCCTAACGGTCGCCATGTTGGAACTGCGGTGTTCATCGTCTGCACTGACTGTCAGTGGCATTGGTCGACTTAGCAAAAGCTTGGCAGAGACCTTAGGAACTACCGTCTTCACCCGAATAGAACGCACACTATACAATACCTTTCTCGGCCTTTTGGCTAAGATCAAGTGTAGTATCTGTTCTGATCAGTTTAAAAAAAAAAAAAAAAAAAAACCTTAAAAAAAGAAAATAAAAAACACACTGTACTGTCATCATTGCTGCATAGACCGAAAGTTACCCCAAGTGCAGCTATAATGACGCTGCGTTCTATCTGGGCGAAGAATGTAGTTGTAGTCATTCTAGGAAGGAGAAGGGGAGTGTGAGTGAGATGGGTCATTTGGGGAAAGATGGCTTGAGCTGGTAAACACTGCTCTTCACTTTCAAAGCTGAAACCATTGGATTTTTTTTTTTTTTCCTTTTTTTTTTTTTTGGCGAGTTCTTGTGGCATGCATGGCTCCCACACTGACCCTTCCAGGGCCGGATATTGGTTCAGGGGTGGTGGAGTGTGAGCATGGCTTGTTTTCGTTGTTTTGCAGTTTCTGATTTCATTTTGCTTGTTCTCAGGTCGTTTGTCTTTTCTGAGTCCGCTTTGTCTGTTCTAGTTCTCGTTCGGTCTGGATGTGTCGTTTCAGCATTTTTGTCCAGACCGGTAGTGCCTCTGGACCAGTTGGGTTGATTTAGGCACAGTGGCCGTTTTTCAGGCCTGGCACACTCGGATTTGGGTTGAACCACGTTTTGGTCCAGCCCTGGTTTGCCCTAAATGAGGACACCTCTGCTGATGTACCAGAGGAGCGTGGACGTCCGGTTTTGACCCAGGCAGGCCGTTTTTAGGCCATGTACCAGGACCAGCACTTGGGCCTGCATCCTGGATGGGTAATCTGTGGTATGATCGAACGGCCCAGGACACAGGCCGAGGCAGGATCTGGTACGGCCCGTGCTCTATATAGCTGGGCCAGCCTCCATTTGAGATATGCAGCATTCTGGGAGTCACATGACTATGGCGCTGGAACAGTGCTGGAGCATTAGCGCTAGAGGAGAGCGGCGCTGGAGTAGCTACACTAGGATAGAGTAAAGGAGGTAGGAATACAGAGAGTAGAGGCCAGGGGGTCCGGAAAGAGAGAGGACTCACCTGGGGGCTCACCTACTGGGCTCTGTAGCTGGAGTTCGTCGTCAGGCCGCGTCCAGCTGCGGCACAGCTCAAGACACCATCTTTTCGCTGGTCAGTACCTGGTTAACGTGGGGAGAGAGAGAGAGAGAGAGAGAGAGAGAGAGTATTCGGGCTATTTGCCCAGACTCGCACATTTCATTCTGGACAGTGACAGTGGAGACTTCTCGTTCGCAGGGCTATTGAGGCGCAATTTCCCCATCTCCGGTCTTTGTTTCTTTCCTCGATCTGCCTCGTCCGTGGATGCAGATGTGTTTACGGCATGGCGATTCTCTTCCATGTTTGCGTCACCATGCCCATTCATGTGTGTGAGCGATGATTGACGCATGCATTTGGTCTTGAGTCCTGATGAATTGGATCTGTGTATTTGAGTCCTCCGCTGCATTGTCATTGTTGTTTTCTTCATGGTGATCCTTGGGTTCTGCGCCATGTCTATCTGCTACTTGTAGGCATGCGAGAGTTCTGCTCCTGGTAATGTTGGTTTCCGATAACTTGCTTTTCAGCATAAGTTCCTTGCTTGCACGGTCATGTCGTGGTGTTCTTTTGCGCAGGAGTATTTCTATGGGCTACATGGTGAGCTAAAGCCTCAGGCACATGTTGCCAACTTCAGTGACGTTCAGGTCTACCGAATAGGAGGAGGTGTGTGCCGAAGTCGGAACCAATACCCTCAATTCCTGCTCTCTTTTTTTTTTTTTCAAGGGGTGTAGCCCCTGACATTATGTCACTGGGCAGCTGATTCAGGGTATGAAGTACTATGAAGTTATGAACCCATGGTCTGTTCAGCAGCATTTCTATATTTGTAGCATTTTGTACCCTTCAGCTTCACGGACTGGTACGGCCATGACTGCTACCTTGTCCTGGACTTCTTTTCTTCTGTGACGCTCAGATGTACTGAATCGGAGGAGGTGCGTGCACACTCTAAAAGCGTATTTGGAGCCGAGTCTGTCAATGCTTGCCTCCCTTCCTGTTTCAGAGATGTGAACTCCTAAATTGCAGTGGCTTTTGAACATACGGTTTATCAATTTTATCTACCTGGGCGGTCCCTGATCAATAAACCAGACCTGCCATCTTCTAGCCGTGATCTTACCTAGCGGTTACTTGCCCACTCGTTCTCCCTTCTCCATGCGGGATGGTGGTGGTGATGGTGGCTTCCTTACTTCTTTCCCGTGCCTTAAACCGTCAGTACACGGCCCCAGCTTTGCAGAAAACATTCCGTCCAGGCCACTCTGTAGCTCCACAACAATCACGGATGACATACACTGTTGATAAAGATCATAAATGACGGGCGTGGCGTTTCGGGCCTCAGAAACTTGCGGTGTCAGGCCCGCGGCCTCATGCGCCCGTGTTCTGGTGGTTTTAGCCGCCAGCACCTCCGAGCCCCTTGTTCCGGACTCCGAATTCCTCTGCATGTAGAAAACAAGAAAGAACCTGGTGTGGGCGCGTTTTCATCCATTTTGGTGAAGTAGCAGTGTTCATCTAAAAATCGTGGTGGTATAACAACTCGTAGGAAGCCTTTGACTGTGAAAGTAGTATCGGTGGTTTACGCACAGTATTGCGAGAACTCATGGGGACACAAAGACCGCAATTGCCGAAAGATATTGATCTGCAGTGCTGTCCTTCGGTACATCCATTAAAATTGGGAGTATACAGAAAAGATGAGCATCTCCCCTGTGCAAGGATGGGTTGCACAGATAGAGAAAATGGTCTGGAAGAAAAAAGAACAACTATTCCCACTGTTTGTGTGTTTTCCTTGGTGCTATCACAGCCTTGGAAAGGCAGTGCCACAGGTCACAGCCTCACAGGCGAACCAGTCTGATTGGCAAGATTGCTTGGCAGTTGAAGTGGAATCCGCTCGCTGAAGAGGAACAGGGCCTAGAAGGCTTTTAGAACAGTCCAACAAGTTCCTATCAGATTAATCTGGTCAAAGGGCCAGGGCGCATTCACCTGAGCACCGGGCTTTTGGGCCACCATTAATTCCAAGGCACTTTTCTCCGGGGTTGGGAACTCGCTGTGCGGCCAAGAAAACGTAACGGCGTGGGCCTCCTTTGGCTGGCGCCGCCAGCCTTTTTGCTCTGGAGGCTGAGCCCCGAAATATGCGGCGCGTTAACGCCCCGGACCAAAATAGTATAGTGGGGCCAAGTACTGGTGGTTTAAGGGCAATAGGGCCTGGAACCTTTCAGGCCCCGAGGAGAAGGAACATCGCCCGATCAATCAGTCAATCCTGTGGATGAGAAAGTTTTCACGGATCTAAGGTCCACTTGGTCGTGAAGAGGCACCTGCAGACCTCATGTTCATGAAGCTCTGTGACAGACACACACACACACACACTTCCCCTTCATTCCTCCCTCCGCTTCTGTAGTACTAGTAAACAATATGAATGAGGAACATTAAGAGAACAGACAAAATATAGGCTGAAGACCTGAAGAATAATGAACAGGACTATGCCTCCCCCTTTACTCTGCCTCCTTTTATAGCGTGCAAGTGTGCCGTTAAGGCACACGGCGGTGTGGGCAGCTGGCGCCCAGCCATCATCAACGTGGCCAGCCTTGTACGTGAGAGGCACAGTAAGAGGGGAGATGCAAGAATAAATAAAATGGGAGGCCTCCCAAAGATAGCTGAGGTAAACATAATCAAGAAAACGATATAGTGGATCTATTGTGTTTCATATTGCTAACTGTTTCATTGTTGGGTTGGCTCATCTCAAGTGTGTCGCTTTGCTTGTTTAATAGTGAATTGGCTCATCTTAAGCATACTTCATCGTCTGCAATAGATGAAAAGTTGCTGTGATTTTGGATCTACTCATCGGGGTCGAACAGGGGGGAGAGAGAGAGAGAGAGAGAGAGAGAGAGAGAGAGAGAGAGAGAGAGTCACATGCCTCAGAATCTCAGATGGGCATGTCGCAGATCGAAGGAAATCACCTGTGAAAAAACAACAACTGATGCAGCAGAAGACTGGAAATGTACGGACCTGACTCGTCGGACTCATATGACGCAAACATCATCCATCGTGCAATTGAGTCTAGCCAGGTAGTGCATACGCAGATGAATGCTTCCTGGCTGCACAGACATAGCGAGATTATCACATGGACGAAAGATGGTGGGAGGAGAGATAAAAAAGGGGAGGAAGAAGAGGAGTAGAGATCAATGCATCTGCCAGTCAACCATGGTCTCTCTCGAAAAAGTCTCCCACAACATTCTCAGTTCGAAGTCATGTCCAAGTCTGGGCGCAGCCCAACCAATAGTCACCAAGTTTCAAATCTCTCTCTCTCTCTCTCTCTCTCTCTCTCTCTCTCTCTCTCTCTCTCTCTCTCTCTCTCTCTCTCTCTCTCTCTCTCTGAAGTGTAGACAGAAGATGGATATGGAGGGTGGAGTAAGAAGATGCAGACAGAAGAAGATGGAGAAAAATGTCCTCTCCTCTCACTCGCTCTGATGGACCCAGACGCTGACCAGCGAAAGATGTGATCTTGAGCCGTCCTCTGAGGTCTGCAGGTGCTGAGGGCCTGGTGCCCGGCGATGGAGACTGCAGCGACGGCACCCTGGTAAGTATCCTCTCACCCAGCCTCCGCTGTCCTCTACTCAGCTAATCTCCACCAACGCTGAAGAGTTAACGCCCTAACGCTACTCCCCTCTAGTGCTGCTCGAGCATCATGTCGAAGTGCAACCCAAACACTGCGTCAAATGGATTCTGGCTTTGCTATACATAGCGCTTGGCCTACTGGATCCTGCATCGGTCTGCATTCTGGGTTGTACGATCTTAATCCCAGCTGACGATCCAGGATGCAGGCCCAAATCCGGGTCCTGAAATACTGGCCTCACAATGGCCTGCCTGGGTCCCTATCGGACATCCAGGCTCCTCTGCTGACACAGCAGAGATGTCCTCGCTACGGGGACAAAAGAATGCTAATTCTCTGCTGACACAGCTACGCTGACAGAAGAATGGGAATACTGAAACGAAACAGACAAAAGAATGGGAATACTGAAACGAAACAGACAAAAGAATGGGAATACTGAAACGAAACAGACAAAAGAATGGGAATTCTGAAAAGTGCAGCCGACCCAGAAGAACAAAGAACCAGCACCATGACCTCTATCCCAAAGGCGGGGCCTGGAGGGGCCCGTGTGGGAGCGCTGTGCCTACCACGGACAGAGAGAAGAGATAAGGCTGCTGTTCGTACATACTCTGGATCAGCTCCTCTGTATGTGAAAGAGGATTTTCCACCTTTCTATTTGACTGCCCTTCTCCTATTTTCATGATTTGTTTGTTTTTCTTCTCTCACTCGGAGTTTGGAACTCACTACGACAACTTGCCAATGTTTCCATCGCTTTACTCAGCTTGATCAAATTACTTTGCATTAAACTAGATCTGGTAAACAGCCGTATCGTGAATTTTCGACTGCCCACTTTTACCGGGAGCGCTGCGCCCGGCTCGACTGGCGCTCTCACGCGCACTTTCGCACGGCGCGTTTCGGCTGGGCAAGCTTGACATGCGCGTTCATGGCGCGTCTCTGCGGCGCGTCGAACTACGCAACGATGGTGTCTGGGAGTTGTGGCGCGCGTTTTTGCTTTGGTTCGGAGTGGCCATATATGAGCTTGTTTGTCGGATCATCCTGGGCGCTTCTTCTGTGCCATGTATGAGCTTGTTAGGCTGGTGGGGGCGACGATTTCGCGTGTTTTACGAGTTGCTTCAGGTCTGGTTCGTGCGAATACCATGCTTCTTTCGATGCGCTCTCCCTGTCCGTTCTGAGGTGGCCAGCTTCGACGTTGGGTTTCGTGCAAGTCACATAGACAGGCAGCACGAGCGGCACTTCAAGTTACAGGTGAATCAACGCCGACTGGTCGTTCTTCTGTCGCGGATGAGGCTGCCTATGAGATGATGCGTGGGGCGAAACTCTTCCCTCTTCCTCAATCATGGTAAGTGTATGGTAAGTGTGGTGGCTTGGACCCCCTATGGCGACTCGCCAACGGGTTTGGCGAGGGGGAGCCACACTGTTTTCGATTCCTTGGAATTGAAGATGGCCGATCATGCCTTTTGGAGTTAGTGTTGCCTTGAGCCGAGAAGCTAGCTGTGGGAGGAAGGGAATCTTTCCTTCCCTAAAGGCGCAGGGGTAGGGTTTGAAGGGAGGGAGGGAAGTGGCAGAAAGTGGTGGTTGAGGAAGTGGGGATAGGGGTTATTTGTTTTTGAAAAATGATCCACGCGTGGTCCAGATGTATCTCCTTCCTGAAAAATAACCATGCCTTCTTAATCCGTGGGATCCACCATTGATTTCACAATTGAGGATAATCTGAGATCTCGTTTTATGATTCGGTTTTTTTTTTTTTTTTTTTTTTTTTTTTTTTTTTTTTTGGTAAAAACAGGTCCTTATGGCCCTGGCTCCATTTCCATTCTGGGAAGCATCAGTCCGGTTCCTATTCCACCGGCAAGTCAGGAAAATATTACAATATAGGACACCCACTGGCCGAAGGAACCCTGATCAGCATTAATTGCTCCAGCAGCGTGGAGGATTGACTGTCAGCTTGCCCTGCTTGCACCTTTCCTCTCAGGACTACTGTAAGAACCTGTCAGATAAAACATTCACAACCAGAAAGGTCTGAGAAGCTACGGCTGCTGCCGATGCTGTCTAAGCTCTAAGTCTCTAAACC